AGGCAAATTAGAAGTCACTTCCTCTTTCCTGGAGCCTGGGGCTGACATGACTGATATCAGTCAATAACAAGACCACAGGCGAGGGATGGCTGGATGGGGAGCCCTGTATTTACAGCTGACGTGAGGCTCGAGGTTAGTGTAAGGTAGTAGGGTTGTAGAGAAAACACAACTTTCAATCCTAAACTAACATTACAACAGTTAAATTCACGATTCACATTAAATCAATTCATGCAGTGCCTCAAACACTCAAGTTAATTCAAGAGTCAACCAAATATTGTAAAACATGTAAATTGATACGACTTGCAATGCATTATTTCTGGCACTAATAAACTTAAAGGGGAAGCCTGGCAATATAGTTCGTCTCTTCCATAATGCTGGGGAGCTCATGGGAGACAAGTCAAATAATGGATTCAATATACCTTACCTGCCTCATTAATACTAATGTCTTTCAAAATCCAGTTTTTTTACACAGGCTTTTCTATAAAAATGTTTCAGCTCCAAGCCCAAGCCATGATAACCCTGATGACATCACTGGGGTAATTTTCTCAGACAAACTCCAGAATCATGGAAGACAGGCTGAGTAGTACTGCCCATCACAATCAAAGGTCCACTGTGTAGGATTGAATGGCATCTAACGGTTAAGTTGCACACTGCGACACCCCACCTCCGTCTCCCTTTTCGAGGTGCAAAGGAGAAACTATACCTGCTGCGGAACTACTGTAGGAACATGGCTGTTTAAAACGGTGGACTCTGTAGAAGGGGACCCAGGGGATTATACACTAATGAAAATATACCTATGAATATTATATTCCATTTCTGCCAATAGATCCTCCTAAATGTTACACACTGGACATCTAAACTTGATATCTAAAATATAAATTTGGAAAACTCTTTTTTGACAATAACTGGGCAGTCCCATCCCAATCCATCTACCTATGAAGTCTCTTTCTAGTGCTGGGCAACAATTTCCTGTGATACAAATATACTGTATATCGCCATACCTACTAAAACAACTGTTGTTCATGTTTTTACCATGAAGAGCTAGTTTCGGGGCAAGCTGTATGGCACGTATTGAGAGGGGATCCCTATTGACTCTTCTTACTAACAGGCATAACTTTATAACACAACAATTAATAAGCCACAATTAACTCTCTTGAACAGGACTGAACACCATGGCATACAACATTGTATTTGAGATCATTTGTTTCAAATAGGAAGCAGAATAAGGGTTGATGGCATATCTTTTTTCTTTTTAAGTTCAATTTTTCAGTTTGAACAATAAAACTTGTTTACCTTCTGATTCCTTTGTATATTGTAAAATGTTTTGGTGAGCCAAGAAACCCTATAGTAAACAAAGTATGTACTCCTGACAATAGAATAAGACACTATAAACCTATATGCAAAACAAACTGCTGTCTAATGACTACAAATTATCTCACTGATATTATCAGCAGACATTCACAGCAAATTTTAACTCCAAGTGACAAGATTTTAGAAAGCAAGTCACAGCTGTCTCACAAACATTCCTCTCAAAATTCGAAGCATCTGACAAAGGTCGCACTTCATCTTTGTGTCAGCCCATTGAGGTTGAGTGACTTTTTAAACACATTTTCCAGCGCAGAAAAACCTCCAAAAGCGTCTTGTTTGACGCACATCACACCTCAGGGCTTTGTGAGAGTGCTGGTGTTTGCACTCAGCCTTCCACATTTGGAGAAAATTAAAACAAATGAAAACCAACACTTCATTTCTGATGTTATTGCTGGTAATGAAGCACTGCTGTGATGCTTTTTGAGTCCCCCCCCCCACTTCCACCCCTTCCTCCCCTCTCGTCACACACCTCTCCAGCCTCTCCAGAGAGTTTGGCTTAACAAAATACAGACGGGACAGCGGTGAACGTGCGTACTGTATTACAGCTCGTACATCAACCAGCATCAGGGCATTGGGCAGATGGCTGAGGTTTTCAACTGCACCGTAATGCAAGAACAGCTCAATAATTAGCATCGTTGTTGTACTGAAACGCACTGGTTATTCTTACGCGTGCCATGGGACTCATTGTTTTCCTTAACACCCCATTTGCTTCTCCAAGGCAGCGGTGCAATGATAGGAAACCCTACGCTGAGTTATAGTAAGCGTGTTTCTTGAATCCACTGAAATAAAAAGGTACACTCAAGGAGTGCTACTGAGGATATGATGTCACATGCCAGACAGGAAAGGAAACCGATTTTAGTCACAAATGAAAGCTGCTACAGTCAAAAAAGAATTAATAATGTGATGTGTCTGAGAAGAAAATTCTCGAAACAGAGTCATCCAAAAGGTGTGATCCATGAATGAACCATAAACCCACCATAATGAATGAACATGTCATTTTGTGGCTTTGTAAAACGTAATCCACCTAAAGTCCAATATAATCAATGTATAATCAATTACATTTCATTCAAAACCACTGTTTGCTTCAACCTGCTTTGCTTACTTTGACTTCAGTTCATTATTTCCTCCATTTCCCAGAATGCCTTTTCCCCAGGGATTGGGCATAACCATGTCTGCCTTCATCTGTACTCTAGAAAAAAAAAACTTCACTCTTTGATTGTGAGCAACTGACACGAAAGCTGACAGTTGCTGTGGAGGCTTTAAGACTTTCTGCTGTCAAACTAAATGCAGCTGCTCGAAATACCAAAACTTCCTGCTACAAATCCACAAGACTGTTACACTTGAAAGAAATGGACTAACTGGAAAAATACTACCTTCCACTGCATATTTATGCACATATAAGAAGTGCTGCTCTTAGGCTCCCCGTCCAGGAGAAACTTTGGATGATTGAATTCTTGCACCGAGCTGCTGCTGCTGCTCATCTCTCACAGAAAAAAAAAAAAAGTTTCCAAGGTCCCAAGTTTTCAATCTCTAAAGTTCTTTAAAAAGCAAACACTACATTTGTCCGATGAAGAGTTTGCAGGTCGAAACATTCATCTCTAACTCCACAGGACGGCTGTAACGCATTAACTGACCAGAAAGGTTTTACACATTAACAGCAGCTGGCTGATTGACTGATTTTGTCAGCCAGTTGTAATTGTTAATCCCTCAAAGAAACCACTAATGACAATAACAATATACTGTATATACAGTATATATTAAAATATACATACTGTAAATATGCAGCTCTTCAGTACTTCATTGTAATGCTGCTTTTACGCATTTTCCCTGCAATTTGAATATCGCACTTGGCTATATTGTGATTTCCATAATAATTAGATTAATTTGCACAAATATATATATATATATATATATATATATATATATATATAATGCAGTGATTTTGACAGATATTAAGATTGTGATATGATTCACAATTAGTGGGAATTATCATTTTTGTATCACAATTTTCATTTCAACAAAAAAAAAAAAAATGTCTTCTGTGGTCTACAAACAAACAGATGTTTTCTTACATCTGGAGAACAAGAACTGTAGGCCAGGGCCTCTCTGCAGCACTACAGATTCAACTTCTGCAGTTTGGTTATGACACTTGGCCATATTGCAATTTCAGTAATATTTACATTTTCTGTTCAGCCCTAATATATTTATGTTAATGTATTGATATATTAGTCTCACGATACCAGACAATTGGAGATCTCAGTGCCTACCAATCACCTGGGGGTTTCTAAATGTAAAGCATTTACTTTAAGGACATGCCTTACCTGAAACAATGCTCTCCCCCATTGTCGTCCATAGTGAAACACACTGGAGATATAGCAAATCACTGTGTAACACAGAGAGAGCTTTCTAACATACTGAAAATGGATATCACGAGCAATGTTATATAGTACGAGAGAAGGGATGCACCAAACAGCAGTAAAAGTACTGACACTTTGTTATTTGCCGAAACCAAGTACCCATACTTAATAATACCATTAGAATTCTAAAATGTAATTGAAAACCATGTTTTATTTTGATCAGATTTTCCTCACTTTCTGACTTTAACAAATGTTGTAAAAGTTGTTTAAAATATCTGCTGAGATTGCGTCTCCTCTGCCTATCAAGAGGTTATGTGAAGAGGTTAAGTGGCACCAGAGTGCAGTACTGGAGTAGTAGAGTGTTTACAAGCATGTGACTTCTGCATGTTATCGTTCTAAGGGGCCGCCTGAAGGCTTTGGATTGATTCTGCAATTATTTTAGTTTGAGGAATGTAAAACAATTCTCCAAAACCATTTTTTATACATATAACAGAATGTGTCAATACGCCTCATATCTTTGGATTTAAATGAGGGCTGTACAATATGGTAAAGCCATCATATTGTGATGGTGTTTGACAGAAATTTGTGTGAGAATGATCATTTTTGTATCACACATTTCATTTTCACTGAAAAACTATTAAAATCATGACGACATTTGTTGGTTTGTTTTCTTACATCTGGAGAACAACAACTGTAGACCAGGGCCTCTCTGCAGCACTACAGTACTTCATTATAATGCTGTTTGTCTCACATTTGACTTTATCAAAAAACTGCAGCTGCTGTATTGTATATATGTATATATGTATTGTATATGTCACTTGGCCAATTTCTTTGACCGGCATATACACATATAGCAATATATTAGCCACAAACTACTATTGGCTGATGTACTGGTCCACACAGTTTATCTAGCTTTAGAATATATGGTGAAGGAAATAATAATACACCCCCTCAGGTTGAGGGTATGATACAGTCTTATGAGCAGCATTAAAGAAGGCGTCAACCTCCCATATCACACTGCTAAAAGCTTTTACATTGTGTGTACCGACAATAACTGTAATAGACTTATAAAAGTCCCCAAATCCCTCCATCTTAATAAGTCTGCTTGTATCTGTGCCTGCCTGTAAGTCAGTCAGTCAGCATTAGCCATGTTTACTGACTGTACTGAGACAGCTGACAGCTCCTCTACAGACAGGCAGACAGACAGGCAGACAGACAGGCAGACAGCACGGAATGCTCCTGTGCTCCAGCGGGTGAAGCTTTCAGTCTGTGTACCTTGCTCTCCGTACAGGCTCCAGCGCTGAGGACTCTTCTCGGAGAATTAAACTTCTGAATCAATCTGAGGAGATGTTTGAAGTCAGTCCGCACAGGGAGCGCCATCTTGGATTGTTACGTCGCGCTACGGTGGCTTTGAAAGGACAAAACAGGGAGAACGCCGCGTTTCAGTCCATAATTCAGCACAGTGAAGGTAAAGCACAGAGCTCATTTAGATGTCAAGTGCGAATTATAAATGCTAAAGTCACAACAGGATTATTTGATTTTTATATAAATAAATGAGACTATGAAATAAACAAACAAACACAGGAAACACTGAACTGTGTAATATTCCAATACATTACATTACAATACACTTTTTAAACCGTAGCTTATTATTATGAAATGTAATCCATTTTTATTTTCTTTGTTTCCCAACATTTTATGTATTTCAGAATCTCTTCTCTACTCCAACGTACAGATTTTAGATTTGAGTATGTGTGGGAGTTTCACTGGATCAATATCAGACGTACTCTGGATCACTGCATGATATAAAAGTAATGTTGGGTCTTGAATTCCAATTGATTTGCTTTTTCACTGGTCTGGTTCCTCTTTTCCAAATAACTCAAGTCTTCTTCTACTGGAGACAGAATAATCACACTGAAGGGAAGAACTATTGCAGACGCTTGCTTAAATTCATGTATAATATCTTTTTCAGACAGCCACTGGGTCTTACACGGGACCTTCTAGTCTCTTTGTGGAACCGTACACCAGCTGCCTGCGTTGTTCTCAATGTATATCTGAGCTCCATGCAGCCTATGGAAGAGGAACATATGCAAATACACACTCTCCCACCACCACATGTACAGTAGGCTATAGAAATGTGTCAGACATGTGCGGTTTCCTCATTGTCTGAATGTTAATTGGGTGTTGTTGTGTCTAGCCTGGCTGTTTCCTTAACAACTGAACTTTCCCAGGGAGCAGCTGCAGAACTCCTCTATCCCATACCTCCCCTCATTACAAAGTGGCGATATACATACTATAAGTGATTATACTACACACAGGGTAGGGTTACAATATGTTTGCAGGGCACACTGGCTGCCCACAGTCCCTGAGACCTCTTGTTTCTGTAAGTTACCGACATCTGCTCCTGATTTTTTTCCCTCCACCTTTTGCATCTGGTTGCATTTGCAGCACAAAATACAGACTATCATTCCATATTCATTATTATTTCCCGAGGCGGTGAGGCTGAGCTCTTTGGTGCGTCAGATTTGGAGACCTGAGCCGGTATGTTCTCTCACGCCTGGGTGATGGGAGATCTGGTCGGTGGACTGACTGGTGGGAGATGGGTTTGTATGCTGGTGTGTGTGTGTGTGTGTGTGTGTGTGTGTGTGTGTGTGTGTGTGTGTGTAAGTCTGCAGCTCCTGTTTCCTGGCCACCCAGTAGAGGTTGGTCTTCCTCCTCCTCGTCTCCTCTCTTCTTTTCTCGTCTGCCTCCTCCTCTTCCCTACATAGTGTAAGAGAAATACCTTTCCTTAAATTTAAGAAGAGTGAGATTTTCCTGCTTTGAATTTATTTTTTTAGTGTGTCTGTGTGTGTCTGTGTCTTATAATAGAATATGTGGGTATTATGTAGCGCTGGAGCTAAGTGCGGTCAGAATAGTTCAATTCCTACAGAGATCACCCATAATAAAACATTTAAGCTTACAGTGCAGTTTAAAGTCATTGGTCATCAAAATGTAATAATGCATTAGTAAATCCAAGTCACCTTTTTCAAACTAGGTTGAAAAAATGTCTTTTCACAGTACATTAAGCGACTGAAATGGATCTCAAGTAGAAAACACTGCACTCGTGTAACTAGTCCTAAACCACAGCGTTCAATTTGCCAAATGCCAATTGCTATATGCAAGGTTGCTAACATCGACACAACTCCAAACACACTAGCTTCAGTGCAGCGTTCCCGCCTGGTGGCACCAGACTATGAAGTCATCTTATTCTGCTGCACCAATGATTCTAATGTTTTCATTTTGTATTCCTTTTTATCAGATAAATATTATGAATGTTTGCTTATTAACTGACCCCTGGTTTCCTGTCATTCTTCAAAAGTGGCCCTGAGGTTGTTTATGGAATCATGAGAAAACCCAATTGGAAAATAGTGCAGTCTATACATTGCTTTCATCTCACAGATGCATTGTGTTTCTTTTTATACTTCCACTAGGGGCACCGAAGTCAGAAATGTTCATCTGTACACACATGAATATGAATAAATATTTAAAAAATTTATAAATCAATCATCAGTGAGTTTGAACCTGCAGCATCTAAGTTAGTGGGAATGGGACGCTGTCGCTCCGCTCTGTGGTCCAGTCCTCTGAGTCATAATCATATTTTATATGTAATGCTAACTTCTGCAGCATGATGCAACATTTTCGAACTGATAGGCTTACATGGTTTTTAGGAAGTAAATGTGGTGCCATACTTTCTTTCTTTCACTGGGAATTCAAGTGTTAAAAACTGCCCATCACTCAGTTTGGAGCCGAGAAGAAGAAACAGAAACTCAGCAGTGTGATCTCCAGAGAGGAGTGAGAGGCCGTCCAGGTGATGAGTGATGACTTTGTGCTTTCATCGCAAATTTGCTCTCCTTTCACCATCAGGGTGATTCCTTTTTACATCCTCATCAGGCCCTCTGCCCCTCCTGCTGTCCTCTTCTTCCTCTTATTCTTCTTCTGGTGCTTACCATGTCTATCTTCTTCTCAACCTTCAGTCTTCATCTCCTTCTTATCTTTCTCCTCAGTCTTTTTGCCCCCTTCATACATCTCCACCTCCTTCAATTAAACCTGCTGTAACACATTTCATACATGTAAGCATACACATTCACAGATGCCTGAATATATACATTGTATATACAGAATCTGTAAATATATACACACCACATTAGTCTAACTTCTAAACACACATTCTGATGCTTTCTCTCACACATACTAACTCTCTGCGGCAGCCCTCTGCTAAGGAGAGATGCTGGTGGCGACCGATACTCCACCTGTCATAATACAGCCAGGCAAGGCATGATGGGAGGGTGGGGGGCTGCTGAGTGAGAGGCCAAAGATGTATGTGTGAGTGTGTGTTTTCTGGACTCTGGATCTTGACGCTGAAAGACAGGATCTCCCCTCTGACACTGTAGGCATTCAGAGTCCACAGGACGTCCACCACCCAAGTGGACGGATGGATGGACAGCTAGCAGAATGACAGACACCTTGACAAACAGAAGATGTGTTGGCTGAAGACAGACAAATGAATGATGGATAAATCAGATGGACTGGAGTACAGACAGGCAAACAAAAGAGCAAACGCCTGGATGGATGGACAGTCGACCAGATGTATAGGCAGATGAGTCGATCACTGGAAGGATAGAATTTGGCCAGAGGGATGAAACATAATAAAGTCCGACACTGTGCAGTGCAGAGAATGTGTCAGTGATTGAATTGTCGGGCCGACCGCACACAGCCTGCAGCGTCACTCCCTCACCGGCCCGCTGTTCTCAGAGTGGGAAGCCTCGGCAAGCATAATAAACATTCAGGACAAAGTATTTTGTGTAAAGCAATGTTTGCTTCCCCAAGGAGAATCTGGATTTCATTAATCTGTGTGACTGTGCATGTGAGAAACAGTGTGTGCTTGTCAAGGCAATGCATTTGTGTCTATGTGTATATGCATGTGTGTTGGTTTGTGTGTACAGACATGTACTTGCCCACCTACTGTATGCCTGTTCTGAGGGTTGGGCAATATAACAATATATACCATGTTTGTACTGAGGTAGCTGTCCTCTTGATATCTCTGGTTGTTTTAGGCCTCATGGACAATGCTGCTAATTATTCTGCATGACTGCTTCCTTCATTCATCAAGTCTTTAATGCACTGGGTTTAACTCGTCATTATTTTATATACTAAAGGTTTCTCAATTACCTTCCTTTCTGACAGAGTAGCTCAATATACATTGGGCATATTACTACTGAAGACTGATTCAGTGACGGGCAGAGACAATGAATAACCAATCGATCAACAGAAAAGGAATCTTTGATCACCATTTAAGTCATTTATAGCAGAAACAGCAGACAGTCTGGTTCTGGGTTCTCAAGTTTGGATTTGCTGCTTTTCTCTATGTTATATTATTGAAAATTATGAAACAGTTTAGGGCTATTGATTTGACAAAAAATTCACCCTCATCCTACCAAAATATTTAAGATATGAGGACTACCGACTTGGGGCCCTGGGGACCCCAAAAATAAACACTGTAAGAAACAACCATCATAGCAAAATGATTCTCAAAGCACAAATTAACACAGAAACAGAAAACAATGAAGAAGTCATTAGGAACAAATTGATGACAAAGTCATGAAATATCAGAAAGATAAAATAAGGCACCTGTGAGACAGGACAAAAAGTATACCTCTGGGGTCTGCAGGCCCATCAACTTAGGACCTGAAAAAATTGTAGGTCTCTGTTTTTGTAACATGATTATTAAAAAAAATAGATCAAATATCTATACACATATATTTCCCGCTTGCACTAAAGTGAGTGTATACTATATATGCTTATGCCTGAATGTGAAGAATTGTATTTTTGCTCCCTGCATTAAAAGACTGACATGATTCAGTGTGAATTAGAGATATTGAATTACAAATTCTTATTCAAGAGTATCATTTTCCCTCATAAATTACACACAAGGATGTCTAGCTTCGGAGCACAAGTGTCAACATTGATTTTGTTTTTCCACCAGGTGGCCCTTGATGGTCTCCTTAGGTTCATCAGGCAGGAGGTTTTATACACTGTAATCACACATTTTCACCAGAGATCTCTGGCTTCTTTTTGTTATAATTTCGAGTCTGAACCCTTTGGTGAAACACGAACTTTCTACTCCAACCACAGGCACGGACACTTTACATGGGGCATCTGAACAGTTCTGTCCTGATGGCTTCCCAGCAGAGACTCTGAGTGAGTGCGTTATGTGTGTCAGAGCTGCTGATGTGATGTCACTGCCCTGTTGGAGGTCACCTGACAGCAGCATGCAGCGAAGAAGACAGAGCGTCAACACAGAGTCACTAAGAGCATCTCGGTTTTCCCCTCATCCTCATCCTGTATTCAATTCATTTTTTTCTATC